AATCTGGCAGAGGTTAATGCATCAGACAATTAGAACGGGATCCTTCTGACTCAGTCCTACAGGCAGATAATATGATAAGACAAAATTTATTTATCCTGTCTGTACAGCATTGTGGTTCTTCTGAGCAGGTCTGTTAGCCATGCTCACCGTGCAAGCCAGACCCAGACGCTCAGTTAGGAAGAAGCTCCGTGTCTGTGAACGCCACGTCAAGTCAGCGCAGATGGAGAACTCTTCTAGAGAACTTGTTTTTGTGCTTAATGGCTTGAATGAGACTAAAACAAAGAGACAGATCTTTTTTGGTCTTTCCATTCTTGCCTATGTTTTCACCATTTTTGTGAATTTGACTCTGATTTTGACCATAGTGCTGGAAAAAATTCTTCATGAGCCCATGTTCATCTTCCTGTGCAATCTGTGTGTAAACAGCATTTGTGGCTCTACAAGTTTCTATCCAAAGCTACTGATTGACCTTCTGTCAGACTCTCATGTGATCTCATACACTGCATGTATAATTCAAATATTTGGAATCTGTATGTATCTCTTCTGTGAAAGTACCAATTTATCAGTAATGGCTTATGACAGGTATGTTGCAATATGCAAACCATTAGAGTATCACTCTATTATGACGCCTCGGAGAGTAGGAATGTTGCTGCAAATAACTTGGTTCTTAACTTTCATTGAGACAATTGTTGGCATTTTGCTTATAGTCAGGCTGCCCTTGTGTGGATCCAGAATTAATAAGCTTTATTGTTTTGAGTGGGATGTGGTGAAGCTGTCCTGTATTGATAACACCTTAAACAATGTATTTGACTTTGTTATTATGGTTTTTCATATATTTCAATTCCAGATAATCATAATTTCCTATGTCCTCATCATCCGGACATGTGTACGGTCTCAAGCAGAGCGTAATAAGTTCATGGAGACCTGCCTGCCTCATCTCATCATAATGGGTATCTTGGTTGCTTCTGCTACTCTTGATTTTATGTCAGCACGTTTAACCTCAGACACCTCTCTGCAGCCTCTCAGAAACAGCCTTTCTATAATGTACCTCATTGTTCCTCCTATCCTAAACCCTGTCATTTATGGACTGAAACTGAAGCAGCTTCGAAGGATTGTGTGGAAAAGGTTCAACAGCAAAATTACTGCACTGAAATAACCAAGGGTGGCATGGAGTCTCAGGGGGGTCACACTGTCACCTCCCACCTCTAGGATTGGGGATTAGAATCTGTCCTCTGCTTTGTCTGCATGCATTTTTTTCTCAGTGTTAAGTGGTGTTCCTTTCACAGTCCAAACACACACTTGGAGTAACTGGTGTGTCTAAATTTCCCATAGATGTGCATCTGTGTGCCCTGTGTGGGTCTGCTGTCTTATGTAGAGAGAACCCCAGCCTTGTGCCCTTTGCTGCCTTGGATTGGTACCAGGTCCCCTGTGACCCTGAACAGGATAAGTGCTTAGATGTTTTTTGTCACTGTATATATGTATCTGCCTGCACCGAGGTCCCCAGCTCAGTCATTAACGTGGTCTAAGTCCTGACAGTGGTTAGTGTTGCCTTTGCTCTGTTCCCCTTTATTTAGTCTGTAAGTGTGTCCATAGTCCTGATGCCCTGTACCTCACTCCCCTTGTTATCCAAGCCCCTAGACTCTCCTTATTGTCTCTCCCTGCTTTTGTTAGACCCCTCGTGGTCCTTTAGTTTCTTTTAGGTTGTGTGTCTGGACTCTCAATAAAGTCCTTCAGTTCGCCTGCATGCTGCATTTCAGGTCCTTTATCTACAGTATCCAGTTGTCACAATTCCGTAAGTTAATGGTTAGATTAAGAATTATACTGACCCTGTCGTCATTCAGAAATTCATT